TCTATTTCAAATAATATTCTCTTAGAAAAAAATACGGACTACTTAAATGCTTTGATTTAAGAGAATAGCATCATAGTATGTCTCTATCATGATGTTTTATGTATCATCGATTCTCATTACATAAATAAAATTGTTTTTTTTTGTTTAATCGTTGAGCATCTGCGAATGAATTTTGCTCCAGATCTGATTTCATGCCACAAAGGAAAACAAATGGAATATCAAAATGAAAGGAAAGTGAAAATGTAGGGTCTCCTAAAAAGTGAAAGAAGAGGAGTCAAGATTCATGGTTGTGAGGATAACGAATATGGAAGTGAAAAGTGGCAGAAGATGAAGAATCGGTCTTGATTACCAAGTTTAGCATCTCTACTCAAGTAAAGTTACAAAATAACCTTTCAAGCCGAAGATGCTGTTTGTCATGGTCTTTTTCATCACAAGACGGATGTAATTTATAGTATAAATATACCTTTAGAAAAAAAATACCTTTTGTGAGAAGGCTGTTATGAAGAAAGTGTAGGTGATGAGGTGTGTATGATTTAGGTGGTTGTGTGGAAAGGGGAGGAGCGGGCATCTGGACAGTACCCCTACACGTTGAAACGTAGGCGTGAAAACATTTGGATAAAAATCAACCTAAAAAATTTTATAGGCCAGAATTAATTGTAATGAATTTGTGCTAATAAAAATCAAAAGGACTTTCTGTGCATGCCAAAAACAAAATGAATCATATGGGCTTCTCTTTGCGCAAAGGAAAAAATTATCGGCACTCCCTTTGTCATTTACTCCGTATAATTTTATTAAATTTGACCCATATTTCAAATGAAAAATTGAAAATAATAATCGCAACTATTGTCGGTCTGCCGACAATAATCTCAACTATTGATTATTTTTGTATAATCTTAATTATATGGACCGTCCGTCAATAATGGTCCATGACCTCCTACAACAAGTGGTTTTTAAATAGAAATTAAGCGTAAAAATTAAAAGTTAAGATTATTTATAAGGATTACTTGCTATATCTCTTCTCATCCACTTTAAAACTACAAAAATTTATTTATATGGACCATTGTTGGCGGAAGGTCTCTAAAGTTGGGATTATTTTGAAATAATCGATATTTGGGATTATTATTGGTGGACCACCAATAGTTAGGATTATTACTATCAATTTTTCCTATTTCAAATAAGAATTGAAGATAAAAATTAAGAAATGAGAACATGAAATCTCTTGAATATAACTTGGTGGAGAAACAAATAATCGAGAAACAAAAACATGTGTGATGGTATTAAAATTGATTAAATAAGTTGAATTTAATTAAATTGATCAACTTTTGACTCCATTAGCTGATTGCTCGATTAGTTATATATTCAAAATATTTTAAAAGTGTTCACCTTGTGCACTCTTTTAAAAGTGTTCACAAAAATTATAAGTATAACTAATTTTTATAACTAAATAGAATAATTAGATTGTTAATATAGGTTGTGAAGTAATTACAAATTAGTTTGCACAAATCAACAAATTAGTATTTGATTTAATTTGGTTATTTGTATATTTTGTTACTTACACTTTTATTCAAATTAATACATTATCAGAAACATATTTAAATAACTAATAACCATAACAACACAAAAACATTATTATCCCGTGCAATCCCGTGCATCGCACGGGTTCAATACTAGTGTGAATAGTAAATGAGAAGATAATTCTGTAACGGAGGGAGTATTATGTTTATCAAATACTTACCCCCAATTAAATTAAAATTTGAGAATTTTGATTGGGAGGGACCATAAAATTAAATTAATCTTGACTTGAACTTGATTAGGATCCACCCAAGTCAGACACAAACTATATATAAACTCGACTTAAAATACTCAAACTACTCGATTGTGAGTTAATGTTGATTACATTCATAAATGTGATATTACATATGTATCCATATTATGTGTCTATACATAAAAGTTATAATTATCTTCTACTGAAAATATACTAAAGATTCACATGTTATTTAATGTTTTAGGTAATATTCTAAAAGTGTTATGCAAACTTTATGCATTCTTAGACAAAGTTCAAGCATAATTAAGGAGGATTAATCGTCAAAGAAGGTCTCAATGTCTAAGAGCATCTCCAATGCTATAATGTCCACGTTGCATATGTGGCATGAGTGATAGCCACATAAATATTAACAAATAAATTATTTCTCTCCTTATTTGAATGATTTTATACAATTTTGGTAAGTTTTTCCCTGCAATGTCAACAACAATGTCAACATCTAGACGGTCTCCTTGACAGTGTGGAGAAAAACTTACTAAAACTGTATAAAATTATTCAAATAAGGAAAGAAAGAATTTATTTACTAATATTTATGTGGCTATTTGTCATGTCACGTGTGCATCGTGCACATTTTACCATTGGAATTGCTCTAAGAGACAGCAATTGTGCGGAGAATTTTAAAAGTGTTCATTTTTAATAGTAATTGTCTCATAGAGGACTAAACGAGGGTCGTTGTCATCATAATTATCATTACCCGGTGTTGCAAAGACTCCCACCTATGATGAGGTAATGAGAGTCGGATGTACGCACTCTTATTCCTTTTACAAAGTGATTGTTTCTGGATGGCTCAAATTGCATGGATTGAATGCTACTTCATAACAAAGAAGTCGGACAGCTTAGTGAACCGTTTTGATTTATTCCATCATATTTTTAAAGCAAAAAATAGTGAACCTTTGTTTTCATTGCAAATAATGGAACAAGTAGACAAGGGTAAAATGCAAAAAAATGTGTTTTTCCCTTTAATAGGACCAACTTAGTTCGGTTTGGTACTTCTATTTCATATTTATGATTTCTAATTTTTTTAGTATTTATGAAATTACGATTTTCCAGATTTTGTGATGATGGCTTCAGATTTTACAAGGTTTGTGGCACAAATATGAAAAAAAAAAACTCACTTTTGCTCTCATGACTATTATGCCTTTCACATTTCTCTCTTGATTTTCATTTTAACCACATTTAGTCTGTGACCTTTTCCCCTTCACCACATGTTGTCCTTCCGACCACAACTTCGGCACATTCTAACCTGAAAACTATTTACGGAGAAATATTAGAGGCATTTCAGTAAATGTATGTTGTTAAAACGGCTACATTCTAAATTAGCTTGACTTAATGTGTACTTTTTAATAACTTAACTTTAACATTTTGACCTAATATTTCTCCGTAAATGCCTTTCCGGTTAAAATGTACCGGAGTTGTGGTCGGAAGGACGACGGGTGGTGAAGGGGAAAAGGTCACGGTCTAAATGTGACTAAAATGAAAGTCAAAGGAGAAATGCAGAAGTGACATAATAGTCATGGGACCAAAAGTGGATTTTTTTCCACAAATATGTACATGGACAATCGTATTGTGGGAAAACGTTTTTGGGTAAATAAATTTCTCTGCTTTTTGTCATTAGCTTTGTATTTCTAATTTTCGATTGTGTTAAAGTGCTTATTCCGATACTCTTTTTTTGAATATGTGGTTATTCACTTCACATTTCTGCCAAATTTATGACAATTTTGTGTTAATATTCCAAAATAATTCTGCCAACTCTGTGGCAAATTTGAAAATTGTTGTTCATGGTAGATTTGAAATTAATCTTCAGGGTAAATCTGCCAACTTAGTGGCAGATTTCTGGTGTTAGAGTTGTGACGGGGGCGACAGTGCTTGGAGAATAGTGGCGGCGATGGTCGATGGCGGCATCGATGGCGACATGATTGTGGGAGGCGGCGGCAGGTGACGAGGGAGTAGGTAGGCGGCATGTGTCTCACACACAAACAAGAGACTCCTTTTGGAATCAGCGGATCCCTCTTCTACCCAAAGCCGCTACTCAACACACTCAACATTAATGGAATGGTCATGTGACTCACATGTCACCACGACTAGGGGTGTGCACCGGTTCAAAACCAGACCGGACCGAATATATTTCAATTTTTATCTGAAACCGAACTGGTTGAACCGGTTCAAAACCGGAACTCGGTCGGAAGAACCATTTTTAAAATTATTAATTTAATTTACTAAAAAAACTAATCTGTTTAATATACAAATGAGGTATCTTTTACAAATAATATTACCATTACTATTATTTATTTATTAGTCACAGAGAGCAAAGATTGAAGCAATTTGAGTGTAGAATAGTAAATATTAGTTAATTCTATTATCAAGAAAATAAGAATAAATAGATGAATAAAACATTATGACAATATATATCGCATATTAAAAAGATTACTATATATATTTTTATCACAATTGTTATTTTTATATAGGTAAACCAGTTTAATCCGGTTCAAACCCCCACAATCCGGTTTTTTACCGGAACCGGACCGAAAGCCGAATTTACGATATTCAAAAACAAAAAATGGGACTGGATATCATTTCAGATCGATCTGATTCCTGATTTTCCGGTTGGTCCGTTTTTCAATTTGAACCGGTTTGTGCACACCTCTAACCACCACGCTTGTCGAAGGCCCGCGTGTGTAGATTAACTACATGTGTATAGTACATTTAATCTACTTTTATTTATTGCTGTTATATATACTCCTGGTGGGGTAATTCTAAGTCTTCGAAAAGTTACTAACAAAGGCCATTTTCTCTCTCTAAAATTTAACATTGTCTTCTCTCCAGAATGGCGGAATACCACTTGTTGTACCCGGTATATCTATCAACTAGACAATTACTTATAAAATTCTTTGTCATTTCCAAATAATATGCATATCACTTTAGGTCTTATATATATATATATATATATATATATATATATATATATATATATATATATATATATATATAGATTTAGCTTCGTGTGAGAACTTGATCTTAGGAGAGTAAAAAAGAATAGATGTGAGCCATTGGATTACAATATTATTAAATTTATTTAATTAATTCGTGTAAGGCTAAATCGGTAACTTTAAAATGATTTCCTTTCACGTCATATCCTAATATTAACCATATCCCTAACATTTAGCACTTCCTGGTATTATATCCATTTCCGTATCTCCTTCCATTTACCTTTTTTTCCTTAGACAAAATGAACAACTTGCATTTCTTGATTTTCTTCAACATTCTTTCATCTCATCTTTTATTAAGTTTCATGCAAGAAAAATCACAGTGCAATATCATCTCTTCTCCATGGATCATAGTAAGATTTTAATTTATTGTTCAGAATTTTTGATATATTGTTCTCTATTATCAATAGAGGCCATATTTTATTGAATATATTTCAAATAAGCTTTAATATATGCTTATTTTCTGAATATTATATGTATCTTTATCCTACAACTTTAACCATGTACCAATATTTTTCATTTTTTGGAGTTTTGAATATGTGTTATGATACGTTTGTTTCTTATGTTATGCTACAATATTTCAAACAATATGTTTCAGTTTTGTTGCGTATATGAAAATTTATTTTGCCAAATACATTTCGTGCATTTCAAGTCACATACAATTGCACTAATTTGGATTAACAACAGCACAATAATGTTATTAATATAGTAAACCTGAATTGTTAGAATCTGCATTCATACTCCTATATCATGCACTTTTATGATTATTGATTCATACTTTGATGCACTTATCATATTTTGTTCATGCACAAATACAAATTATATAATGCACCATCACTTTATTATTATGCTCTAAATTTATTTTCAGTTTGCACTAACATCAAAATATATGATGCACTTTTTATGATTTTGAGTGCACTGCAATAGATTTATCAAGAAACGAATGCAGAAAAATGGATTATCTAAGTGACATTAATGATATGTGTTGTCTCCAATAACAGGGTTTTAAAGCGGGATATGTGGAACATGATAATAAAGCGGGCTATTTTCTCTCCTTTTCTCATTTCCTTTCATGTAATTTTTTTCTTTGGATTAATAAATTTCTTTTCCCCGCAAAAAAAAACATCACGATAGAAAGTATGATGCATTATTTTAGAAAAAATGCGTTTTATTTTATAAGGAGTGTCTATGCATGTAGAATTTTAGAAAGTGCGATGAAATAGTGCACTTTTGTATATATTTAAAAAGTACATTATAAAAGTGCATTTTATTTTATAAAAAGTGCTGATGTAGAAATTTTGAAAGTATGCATGTTGTAATAGTGCACTTCTAAATATATTTAAAATGTACATGATAATCAGTTCAAAGTCTTCAATATGTATATTCATCTTATTCAAAATCATTGTGATTTTAAAAATGTATGAAAGTGCACAGGAGCATATATGCACAAAGTGCAAGATAATGTAATAGAAAGTGTAATCCAATGAAATAAACAAGCACTTTACAAAAGTGAAAGGTATGTAACAAAAATGTTATTTATCTTCAAATTCATCCATCGAGAATAATGTCAATTAAATTACTACTTGTGGAAGAATCCAAATACTAAATTAAATTTATGTTGCATAAAGTTTCAAATAAAAATGCAACCATTTGATGTTGAAGTGCAAATCCATATATGGGTGGATATTTAATGGATTAATGATGCAGAATGTTTTTACTAAAATGCCAAAAAAGAAGCTAAAACTAGAATTGGAGGAGTAAATTTAATTGTCCAAATTGAATGGAGGTGCGTAATTTGGAAAGAAAATACGAGCCATTGAATAGAAATGCCAACTATAAAATTACGTACAAGTTATAACTAACAAAATTAAATGCTTGATAATTAATAGCCTAACTTTTAGGGAAAGTTGAAGCATGGCCGTTGAAAATGAATAAACAAGTGAGATTTTTAAGGAAATGTATTTAGTGGTCCGATTGTGTTATAACACCATTGACATCTTTGCCCTTAATTATTAATCACGTTACTTTTATGATAAGAATTGCCCTTCACATTTCATCCTAATTACTACATTGCCATGACTCATATATCAAATCTTAATTGTTGATTAAGCATATTAGATGGTCAGATTTTGTTCTTTTTTACTCTTCTAAGAGGGTGTTCTCACAGGAACTAACCCCTATACATATATATATATATATATATATATATATATATATATATATATATATATATATATATATATATATATCCTTACAACAACATTTCTCAATCGATAATCAATGTTTTATTTCACCAGAATTATCACATGCCATGAGTATAGAAGTTCATCTCGATTATTGGCATATTCATTCAACATTTAATATGGTGCACAAAATATAAATTAGAAAATTCTATTACTTCATTGTTTGTTGTCATTGAGATCTTCTATAAGACGGCATCTTTGACGCTAGTTTTATTCATCATCAATACGTTACATTTTTTGAACTTTTTTTATCCGCAACTAGATGCAATTATTCGAACTTCTTTTTCACATCCAAATTAGTCATAAGAAAGTTCTACGAGTATTAAATTTTAGCTTCTATTTAAGTTCCATTATTTCTACATTTTAGTTGTACAAAAGCATTTCTCCCGCAAGGAATTGAAACTGCAATAGTGTAATTGGGAGAACTTATTGAAAACAATTACACTTGGCAGAACATAGAAGCGTAGTATATAATTGAGAAGAGCTTTATCAGGCCGTTTGGCAGCACTGTTTTTCGGCTTATCAGGCTTATCAGCCAACTTTTTCACCAAACACGTAATTTTTACTTTCGCGCGCTGAGTTGTGTAATAAGTAGAAAAAGTAAGGTTGGAGTTACTTTTCTGGCTGTTTTGGCTGAAGTTACTGTAGATGACCATTTTAGCTATTTTTTCATATAATCTTTTCTTTATTTTATTAATAAAATATATTTTAAAAATAATTGTTTCTTAAATCAGCAGAATCAGCCAATCACTTCAGCCAGAACTTCAGAAATTTCAGCAGAAGCAGCCAAAACAGCCGATTTTCGTGCTACCAAATAGGCTCAAAGTTTTAACATGTACCGAATTGTGAATAAAGCAAACTATCCCATTCGGGTGGGAATATTAATTTTCAGTTCAATTCTTATCGGTTTTAGTTTGGAATGGTTTGAGAAAATTATTACAAAATAAAAACCATACTATTTTTAAGTTTGATTCGGTTCGCTTTAGTTCCGTTTTGTTCAGTTTGGTTCGATTTGGATTTGTTATTTTTAATAATATACTCCATCCGTCCCTGAAACAACTTCTCACTTTCTTTATTTGGATGTCTCTAATTTAACTTCTCATTTCCTTAAATGACAAGTTATCTACATCAAAACAGTGCCAAACAATGCAAAACAATGTCAAACAGTGTCGGAACAGTGTCAAAACAGTAAAATTTACCCCCTGGGAAGTTTATTTTCTTAATATGTGTGTAGGTCAAACCAGGAAGTTGTTTTGGGGACGGAGGGAGTATGAAGGTTATATGAATTTCTTTAGTTCAGTTCGATTTTGTTCAGTTTTTATCGATTTCGGTTCAGTTAAATACAGTTTGAAAATTTTATTACCAAATTAAAACCAAATTGCACATCACCCAATTTCGATTCAGTTTAGTTCACTTGATGCGATTGAATTCGATTTGTTAAACTAAACCAATTTCCATCAACAAAAATACTATAGTCACCCCAATTAGTACCCCACTTTGTACCCCATATAAAAACCTTCCCAAATTTTACCCCATCACCTCCCTTTTCTTGACCCTAACTCTCTCTGACCCTAACTCTCTCTCTCTCTATCTCTCTCTCTCTCTGCTTCTTTTCTCTACGCCATACTCCTCTTATTTCCCATCTTCTTGCCTTTTTTTTTGTTTCTTCCTACTCTATAAAATGGAATAAAATAGAAGGAAACATAGCCATATCAAGCAAAGTGTCTCTCGTCTTCAGCTACTCCCTCTTCCATCGTTTTTTTCCATGTCAAAATGAGAGTTATGATGCTCGAACGAACGGAGGCCGTTTTGGATGAGACCTCAAGGAAAAATAACGACAAATGTGCAAACTAAGAAGCTTTGAATGAATTGAGCATATCTTCTTTTATTGATTTTTTGGCGTGTTTTTGAAATAAAAAGGATTGTCTGTCTGACAGAATACTTGTAAATGCAGTGTCTGTATTTGTTAGTAAGACTCATGAAATTGTCTGTCGTTTGTAAAATAAATGTCTGTAATTGTTGTATTTTTTGTCAATTATTTGCTAGTTGTCTGTATTTGTTTTAAGTTGTCTGGAATAACTTGTCTATCATGTTGTTGTGAGGAGTCTGTAAGAGTCGTGGAGTTGCTGTCACTTTAAAAATACATGTATGGAACTTATATTTTGTTGTTTGTCATTTGACAATAAGTATACACATATAGACATTACTTTACTGTGAATTACCATTTTGGCACATGTTCCATAAAAAAGACATATAATACATATATCTAGAGAAACAATAGAGATAATCAGACATATATATATATATATATATATATATATATATATATATATATATGATTTTTATAGACTTATAAACTTTAACCAATGTACTCCCAAAGACAACTTTGAAGACAATTAATTACATCTCAAAAAATACACCCCACAAATTACATACAACTCACAATAAAATGACAAACAACTAAAGATGAGTTACAAACATGTATTTTTAAAGTGACATACAACTTCACAACTTTTACAAACTCCTCACAACAACATGACAAACAAGTCATTACAGACAACTCAAATACAGACAACTAACAAGCGAATGACAAACAATTAAACATCAATTACAGACATTTTTTTCAAATGATAGCCAACTTCAAGAGTCTTACTAACAAATACAGACACTGCACTTACAAGTTGTCTGTCGTACAAACAACCTTTTTTACTTCGAAAACACACCAAAACTTAAGAAAAAACCAAGAAAAGAAGATCTTCTCAAGTCATTCAAAGCTTCGTGGTCTTCACCTTCATCGTTGTCTCCCCATGTCAAGCTATCCAACGTCGAAGCTAGCTTGGCCCACCGTCGGCAACGTCACTGAGCTCTCCCCATGTAAAGCTACCCAACGTCACCGGCGTAGATAAAAGACGGAGAAGATGAAGAAGATGGAAATCGTTTGTCGTTGCTTCACTCTAGCTAGCTGTTTGCTGATCTGGAAAAAAATTGGGGGAAGAAGGGTAGGGGTTCAACGATGAGGATGTGGGATGAGAGATGTTTGAGGGTAAAAAATGAAAAAAAGAAAGGATTTTTATATGGGGTACAAAGTGGGATACTAATTGAGGTGATTATGGGGGTGTTTGGCAATCAGCAATTGACTGTTAGTTGTTGACTAATTGTGTTGGCAGTTCTGTTGGCTGTTTTGATTAACAAGTAGTATTAGCTGTTTATACAATAATGTTTGGTTAAATGGTTGTTTATAATCAGCCGATAACTTGTTAAATAAATTTAAGGACATCAATTAATGTAGTACATTTTATTAATGTTATTACTTATTAGTACAATTACTTAATTACACCATTTTTGTTTAACAATAACAATTATTATGAGTAACAATTTTTTTAAACACTGTTTTCCTGTATTATTAAATCTAATTAGTATGATTATATCTAATTAAATGGAGCAGTAAGTAATAGATAGTACTATACTAGGACAAGTTGTTTAAAGAATTGAAGATTCAGAAGGTAAAAAAGGAAGAGTTGAAGTGGTCTATTATTTGTTTGTTCTAAATATGTGAGATTGGCGAAATAGTGTTCAACATTTCAGTTCACAGTGAAGTTAGAGCTGGTAGTGCGGCTAATGGCCTTCGTGGAGTATGAAGACGATGGTTTCCGGAAGATGTCAAGTAAGAACACAAGTGACAAGTGGAAGACAAGCAGGGACTACGGGTATAATGGGGAAAACTTGTAGATATTCAAACCGCCAAACACAAAACGCTAGGTTCACCGGCGTTCTTATTTTTAGCAGTTTGGGATGAAAAGCCAAATTAAAAAGCGATTAACCAAACACCCCTATTAGCTAATTAATCTGATAAAAAGTTAAATATCAGTGAAATCATCCAAAAAATGGCTGATAGGCTGCTAATCAAACATCTCCTATATATACTACACAAATGCTATTGCTACCTAATTTGTACTCCTCCCTGGTTCACAAAAAGCAGTTCATTAAATTGGATCAATTCATTTAATGTATTGGGCTTTTGTGGACCACAAATATAGAAAGAGGGTACAAATGAGGTACCAAATGGGGTAAGCAAAACTCTATGGAGGCGTTTACTTCGCTGCTAACGTTACAATTAGGTAGTAAGATATGTGAAGTAAACACGCACGCTGCTTAAAAGCCGCTTACTAACCGAAACAAGTGCTTAAAGTGCCGCTTACTAAGCATACCAACCCTCATACATTAATTATTAATTAAGCGGCACTTTGAGCTTTTTCAGTTTCCGAATTTACTCATTGCCTTTACCCTTATTGTTACCCCCCTACCCACCCTACCCTACTACCCCGACCCCACCCTACCCACTACCTCCATCAATCCTCGTACCTTACCCCTACTCGACCATTACCCCACCCCCACCCCGCGTGCCCCTTTTCCCTACAACGACCCTACCCCCATCCCCACCTCGGCCCCACCCGATCCCGACCCCACCCTACCTTACCCCAACCGATCCCCACCCCACACCCAACTTAGGCCCTTACCACCTTACCCCAACCCCCTACCCCCTACCCCCACCACATTGGCCCTACCAGACCCCACCATATCGTATCTTACCCTACTCATACCATAACCCCGACCCTAACCCTACCTACTCGACCCCACCCGTACCCCACCCCAAACCCAAGGCCCTTACAACCTACCCCAACCCTACCACATCGGCCCCACCCTACCCCTAGCCCCCCCTCCTACCCCAACCCCTTACCATATCGGCCTCACCCCACCCTACCCTACTCCCTTAACCCTTACACCACCCTACCCTACCCTACCTACCCGACCCCCACCCATAGGGGGGCCTTACCACCCTATCACATTGGCCCTAACCCTGACCCCACCCTACACCTACCCTGGGCCCTTACCACATCCCAGCGAGCCCACCCCCGACCCCACACTGTCCTACCCCTACCCTACCTTACCCCGACCCCACCTTTACCCTACCCCTTACCCCTAGGCCCTTTACCACCCACCCCAACACTCTACCACTACCACATTGGCACCACCCGACCCACCCTACCCCTTACCATTTACCCCCGTACCCCAACCCCCTACCCCTACCACGTCGGTCCCACCTCCGACACCTACGTGGGGTAGGATGGCGGTAGGGTGGGCCAGGATCCAGGTGGAGCCAAGGTAGGGGCATCTGGTAGGGGTGGTAGGGGGTGGGGTAGGGTGGTAAAGGGGTGGGGTTGAGATCGGGGTGGTGTATGGTAGGGGGTTGGGGGTGGGGTCGGGGACGGGGTAGTGGTGGGGTCAAGGTAAGGTAGGGTAGGAGTTAGGTTAGGGTGGGGCTGACGTGGTAGGGGTAGCCGGGTAGGGGTAGGTTGGTAAGGGCCTAGGGGGTATAGGGTGAGGTCGGGGTAAGGTAGGGTGCGGGTAAGGGGTTGCGTGTCTATATATATATAGGGTTATTTTTGACATTTTAATGTTAAACAATGTTTTAAACCTTTTGAAGTAAACACGATCTTACAACATTGCTTATTTTATGCGCCGCTTATTAACGCGGGTCCTATTAAGCACTGTTTAGTAATCCGTGAAGTAAACATGTCCTATATACATAGTACTACGTAGCATTTTTGTTCCGTCAAACCAGTGATAGAGAACCATCCCGAGCAAATGTCAATAGAAAACCAAAACCAGTTTTTGGTGTTTGTAGTGATGGCAACGGGGCGGATCGGGGACGGGTACACATAAAACCGAAACCGCCCCCGTTGGATAAACGTTTGCCTCAAAACCGCCCCATTACCTGTTCGGGTAATTTTTATTTGAACCGTACCCGCCCCAACGGGGAATCGGTTTATCCACGGGTAACCGTTTCCCCAAATGATACCAATTCAAATAACCATTTTTTGGAAAACAAATAACCAATTTTCAATCTTACTTGTTATTTATATATTCAAAGCACTCTAAAACATACAAAAGTAAACATTTAAGCAATCAAGCAGACTGGCCTAAACACATTAGTATGACATGCACCTAATATCTCTTGTATTCCTTGTAACATAGTAATAAAAAAGTAGTAATCATCCCAGAATCAAAATTCCAAAAACAGGTTTAGGCCTATATTTAGTTTTAGGCCTAAAAAAGTACTCCGTAGTATACTTTTTAGCATTGTTTATATGATATATACGGAGTTCTATTTAGTTTACACAATTTAACATATATACTTATTATTCTTATATATAAAAAGTTATAATTCATTAATAATGTTACGGATCGGGTAACGGTGCGGGTACCCGCACCATTAGTGAACGGGGCGGATTAGTATAGAACCATAACCGCACCATTAACCATTTAAAAAATTCGGGTATTCCCCGCCTCGTACCCATTTGCCAGTCAAACCGGTTTTTCCCAGTTTGACCAAATCGATTCGATGCGGGTATCCAACGGGTCTGCCGAAATAGCCATCTATCTAGCTAGGTGTTTGACTTCTGAGATCTGAGTAAAACTGACACGGATAACGAATTAACGATAACCTTGTTTTTATTGGGGGGTTCCTGCCCTCCTTTACTGGAGAACCTTGCTGATCTTACCGCAATGGACTCCTCCTACACTCCTTTACTGGAGAAAACTCGAATTCCTCAACCGTTGTTTCAGAAACTAGCCGTGATTTCAATCTTCGAGAAGCTCCGCTCCGCTCCCCCGCACTTGGGCCCCGACTCCGGCCCCGGCACGGAAGCCATCACTCAGTGCCTCCACTCCGCCTCCCCGGCCGTTCTTGATCAGTCAGTCCGTGAACTATGCCGCCTCGTCAGGGACTCCAAGCTGGACCTTTCTCGGGGGTTACTAGAGCTTCAGTCGGCCCTCGAAGCTACTGCTTCTCGCTTTGTCAATCTCTTTGTCAAAGGTTTAGGCTTTCTTGTCCGGCTAGGTTTCCGGAACAACCCACATTCTTTTCAGTTCAATGCGCCAGAAGCTCATCCATTTGTCATGGTATGTGAATGTGTGTGATGCGTGTGATTTTATGAACTGTCGTTTATAGGTTCTATTGCAAGTAGCTTGTGCAGCTCATATGTTGAAATATATGCATTAATGGATGTCAGATACTTTCTTGCCGAAGAGAGGTCCAAGCAGAGCTTGTGCGTCAGGTGCTTATTTTGTTAGTGGAGAGTAAAGAACACGGGATGTTAGGAGTTTGTGAATTCTTAACACCTTTTCTAAATTATGCAATTGTGCGGATGTCTTCTGTAGCTTCTCTGACTTTATTTGTAAGAGATTTATTATCATCAATAGCATCATTATGTTGTTCGCATCCTCAAGAGGCTGTCCCTATTATCAAGCTGCTAATTAGACGGATTAAATACTTCCCTTGTAGGAATGAGGATGTAAGTGGAGAAGTTGACTTATTCTCTAAGTAAATGAAATCATTTTTCTATGTATGTATTTCTAAATCTCTAGCGTATGATGTTTTCATTTTAAACGTATTTTTTGCAGGATTATACTGAAATTTTTTATTTGGTTGAATGCATAGTGGACGCATTGTCTGTTGTCTTGAAGCAACTCACTGCAATGGGATTGGTATTCCACTTGGATAATCATCACTTTTTACTCCATTCTTACTCAGCTGTTTTCAATCTTCATACTTCGTATTTTATATTTGCATATCCTTGAATGCTGGATTCATTGTGCTTGATTATACCTAATGCAGTTCTTATCTTAACTTCTAACAGCTGGCACATGAAGCTCGTTTATGTAGTGTGGAACTACTTGATGTGATTTTCTCATTGCATAGTGATCTTCTCAAGCCGGTGGGTTCCATTGAGTACATTTTAGAGGTACCAAGACGCTTAATGGTTGTGCAGAAAGAGCTTGGGTTGAGTTTTTTCCCTGAACTATCATCAGCATTGTCATTCATATTTGTAATTCTTGTCTATTCAGAGCTTGAACATGAACAGCTCTCTGCTTTGAGACTACTACGCTTTATCTTTAGCTGGAAAAATTGCAGTGGTATTGTTACTACACACATCTTAAGATCCTAACTACATTTAGTTTTAAAGGCCCGAGTTTTCTCCCCCTCCAGCGTGTAATGTTCTTTTTGTGCGAGTCATGCAAATCCTATAATATGAATGTAATCCAATTTGTGCAGGGAAAACTGGTCATATGTCTTCATGCATATTACATGAAGAGCTTTTATTCGTTTTCCCTGTCATCAACCTTGTACACTCTCCATCTAAATCAGTAAAGCAAGCAGCTATCGATTTGCTTTCTGTTTTGAGAAAGCTTTCAATTGATTCGTTCGTTGCACCGAGTTGTGAAATCCCAGCTGGAAGGAAACTTCCCTTCATCAGTACATCTTCACACCTTGCTGTTAGGCTACTGCAGAATTTGTGGCTTCAGGTTTTTCTTTTCTTTTATAAGCTATAATGCTTTGACTTTTTTTTTCAATTAAGGGAAAGTTCCTGAAATAGGACTACAGTTTGAAAATTCCAAAATAGGTCTGTCATTGTTTTTATTCCCAAAATAGGAGTAATTACTTTCAAGTTTGGAAAATACTGCCATGTTTGAAGTCTGGTACTGCCAAAACATGACAGTAATTAGTCTTATTTTGGGAATAACAACACGGCAGTCCTATTTTGGATTTTTCAAACCTTTTTAGTCCTATTTCGGGTAATATTCTCTTCAATTAATTATTTTAGCTGCAGTGGTGCCATGGTTCTTGTTGATAATGTTATTATTTTGGATAAATTCGGGATCACTTGGCTACTAATCTTTTCTAGCATGGGCATAACACCCGTGGATCCGTTGGGAAAAAAGTCAAAAAACGAGCCACAAAAAATAAATATTGATATGTTTTACATAAACAAACTTCACTCTATCTCAGTATGTAGGGAACTGTCTTTGTGGTTAAAGAAGATGAAGGACAAAATGATTCTGAAAGTATTGATATATGTTATCATAATTGTATCCTTCCCTGTTTCTAATTCGTTGGTCTGCAAAATGTCTTAATTACATGCTTGGTAGAAATGGGAAACACTCCTTCACTAATGTACAGCAGGATAAAGCAAAACCATTACAAATCTTTTACAGCATCCCTTTTTCGAATTTCTCTATGCACCTGTAACACAGTTACTTAAAGTTATTTGATATAATTATTCTATGTTGTACCTTCTCGCACTGAATCTATCCTTCACACGAATTAATAATGACCACTACTGTTGGCATTAAAATTGTGTCTAAAATGCTTTCTGCCTAAACTGGAAAAATTGCAGGATGAAGTTTCCGTACCTGGTAATTTCTATCTAAATTTTGCACCTTTTCTTGAACCCTGGAACAAGAACAATATAGCAAAAACATGGACCTCTATATTAAGCAAGTACATGCTGCTGATACTTTCAAGAAAAAAGTCTTCTTTATCCTTTTCTGGAACCCATGGAAAACTTCTTACTGGTAAGCTGTTTGCCTGGCTTGATCTCAGTCTTATATGCTTGCATGTTTTCCGGTTATACCTAATCAAGGCTCAGCTGCAACTACTACTTTCATGTAGAAATGCCTTCATTACTCAGTGGGATTGCTTGTGTACTTCTCTTGCATCAAACTCTTGGACAATCTGCTGGAGATCTGTTGGCTATTTGCAGCAAGCTAGACCCAAAGCTTGGTGTGCCGATGTGGCTAGTCGTCCTATTCTACACCCATATGCTTTCTGATAACAAGGGTGTTGGTTCCCATGGCTTGCAGGTGACTTTATGATTGATGCCTGATATAGTTCTGTATTGGTTTTACTACATTTTCTTATAACCACATTCATATCCCTGGAGTACTCCATATTTAAAGCCTTTTAAAACATTTGGTGTTACCGGGGGCGTAGGTCATCGGTAGGAAGGGGGTGCCACAAGGGAGAGGTCCCGGGTTCAACTCCAAGCAATGACTTGGGATGGGACCCCACTCTCTTTCCATCAGAGTGAGATCAAAGCTTAATTTATATCCTCCCAGATAACTGTCTGGTCGGTTCTGGATTGCCCTCAGGGATGGGGTGTCATTTTTTTTTAATAAAACATTTGGTGCTTAATTCTGCTGCTCATAATGCATTCTTTGGGGGCACATTTGCTGCAGTTAAAACTATTGGGCATGCTTCCTTCACTTGCTTCACATTCTGCAATGTTGCCTATGGTCGTTCAAACTATTTTACCAATGCTTCAAAAGGAGGCTAAACCGTAAGCTCTCTAGAGATTTTGGTCTTGTTTGTCACATGGTATACGCACTTATCCTACTAATAAGTATTCTTTTCTTATCAACAATGTCTTCATGGTTCATATGCTTCTTTCATAAATGTTTGCACTCATTTCCTAGATGTATGATTTTTGACAGGTTTGTTTAAAATTAAGCAGCCCTATGTTTTGTAGTTGCAAATTTGCATATGATTTTGTGGAATATAGATCTTATGTAAAACAATAAGACAGCAGGTCAGCAGGTGTTTAAAATTAATAGATGTATATAAAAGCCTTAAAAGTGTTATATTTCTTCTAGTGTTCTGTATGCATCTGCAATCCGTTTGATCTGTAAGGCATGGGAGTGCAATGATCGCGTCTTTGGAAGTTTACAAGTAAGGTTCTTTAAGAAAGACTCACTTTATTGCTACTGGAATTGAAAATGACACTACTAATGTTGTTCTCCTCTGTCTGGATAGTAGGGAGTACTACTTGCAAGTAAATTCACTGAATTTGCATCTGAGAGAGAGATCTGCATTAGTATGGCTCTTTCCATTCATGATGTTTGTAAAAAGGACCCTGATAGAGGTGTTGACCTTGTCTTGTCTTTGGAGGTATGTTTTGCTAATTGTTTGTCATTTTCTTGTTTTGGATTCCAAGCTCTCTAATGTCTTTTTGATAACAGGCTTGCATTGAGCATCAAGATTCTCTGATTCAGTCACTTGGTCTTGAAAGCCTCTCTCATCTTTGTGAAGCAGATGTAGTAGGTAATGTATGCATGTATACTCATTAAGTCAATATGATCTTCTACTTCAAAACATCCCAATACTCCAAATCTTGTCATTAAAAAATTTCTTCCATCCTACTTACAAATGCAGCTTACAGTTCTAGGTCCATAGATGTTATCAGTCACAGAGTAATGGTTGGATAATCTCCTGTAAATAAGTTAATTGCTTTTTGAACTAATCCTTTTCATACAACTATGTGAACTATAATATAACTTTTGATGCGATTCCAACTTCTGTTTTTGGTATTTGCACACTATTGATGTGCTGCTTGATTCACGCTTATTGCTCTTTTTCTGTCAAGTAGTACTGAGGAAAGAGTGATTTTCCACATTTTTTGTCCAGATTTTTACACAGCCTGGGATGTGATAGCAAAGCACGTGCTAATGTACTTCACAAATGCCACTGTTGCTTGTAGGTAAAAACTGATTTTTTTTATACGGTGAATGCACAACTTTGTCCATCATGGAACTAAGTGAAAGAGTATGATATGTGTCCATGTGTGTGTGCTCTGGTGCTACTGGATTGCTTATACTGCTACATATTACTTCCTCTGCTATTCTTTAGTTGCAACTTTTCCATTTCATTCCTTATTAGTAAAAAATTTAAAGAATCAGATTTTGAAAATTTAAAATGAAAAGAATGTAACAATATTCTTCAGAAATTAAATTTCTAATACATTAGTAAATAAAATGTAGTCAAAGTAGATCATGTGAATAGTGTAAAATTCAACATGTTGCATCTATTTAAGAATGAAGGTAGTATGTTCTACCCGTATGTACATTATATCGTGGTGTAAAGTTGCATGTTAGCATTTCTTAACTCAACTAACACTATACTGAAGTTCTTGTTTAATCTAAATGACCAGTCTCTGTCGCCTTTTAAGATGGGGTGCAACGGATGCTGAATCATATCCTGAAATTTCTATTGAAGTTGTAAAAGTATTGTGGGAAATAGGAACCTCTGCAATTGTTGGCCATGATTGGATAAAAGCTAGAGTATCTGCCTTTGTCGCTTTATCTCATTATGAGGTAAACTTTATGGCAGGCTAAGAGATAATTATCTCTAACTGATATACTCTCAAAACGATTTATGTTAGTGCTCAGACTATGCTCCACATTTTCTCAGGTAGGACAGCTCCAGAGAAGCCTTCCGGATTTTAATAGTATGAATTTGGAGTTTCTTACATCTGAGACTGATCTAGATGTATTAAAAGCCATAGAATCATTTGAAGTCAAAATCATAAATCATGAGCACCTGTTAGTCACTTTCTTATCTTTTACTTCTTTTTAGACTTAATAGATTTGATGAAGGCGCTAACCGTAAGTTTTCTCTTCCCAGTACACGAAGAAGATTGGTGAAACAGAAAAGAGTGCCAAAAAGCAAGATTGAAAAGTTGCTAGATGTTTTCCCTCGGGTCATGGTTGCTTCAGGTAGACATTCTACACTACATATTCTAGGACTATGAACTTATTGAAATGTGCAGTTATGTTATAGCATTGCTGCTTATAATTCTCAATTTCCCTCTTATCCATTCAATATGCAGGAAAGGACAGAATACTCAGGGATTTGCCTGGTGCCGCACTCTTTTGTCTTCCCTTCAGCCTTAAAGGCTTGAATATGCCAGGAACATCAGAAGTAAGATACAATGCACCAGACACTATAACCAAAACCAATTTCTTCAGGTTTTGCCAAGAGATTTCTAACCTTTTTTTCCTGGTGGAAGACATTGCAAGATACACAAGATAAATACAAGAATGCTGTAATTGAGATAGCTGAATCTCTTCAGCTCTCAAGGAATATTTTCATTGCTCTTCTGGCATTGCAATCTTGGAAACCATTCATGCTAAACTGGATAAGGGCCTGCCTCATGTTACCTGACACTAAAGTGCATTTGAATGTGTCAGAGAGAACATCTAATGCTGCCAAGGAAATTTTGAAGGTTGAACATGCTTCCGGTGATAATTATATGGTGCGTTTGTTTGGGTCCTCCCAAGAATGACATCATTCTGCCTGTAAACTTTGCAGATTTTAATAGAAACTGGTGAAAAATCTCCTCCTAGATCTGCCGAGAATATTGCATTAGCAATTGGGGCTCTTTGTGCGGTAATAGTATGATCTATTTGCGTTTTTCAATGGTGTTCTGCCATCAATTTGCGTTTCCACAGTAGATAATTGTTCAATTGATATCTATCTCATTTTCTGTTTTTTTTTTCTACTTCTAGGTACTCCCAATATCTGACCATGCTATTAAATTAAGTGCATCAAAATTTTTGCTGAGTTGGCTGTTCCAGCATGAGCATGAATACCGACAATGGTGTGCTGCTATGTCTCTTGGGTTGATATCAAGCTGCCTGCATGTGACTGATCACAAGCTGAAAATAGAATATATTAATGCACTTCTTGAGGTTGAAAATCTATTAAGCTGTCCTTGTATCCTATTTTTAAATGCAATTCTTGAGTTATGGGAGCATTCATTTATTCTATGATGCTAGAATTATAGAGCTCTTGTAGCAGTAAGATTGTTCCGACGATGGCTTAAAAAAGTGTTTTGCAGGTCTTATCCATGGGCAAAAGCACCCTTTTGAAAGGAGCCTGTGCGGTTGGGTTAGGGTTTTCATGTGAAGATCTTCTAACCAAGAGTGGTGCTGAAGATGATCTTCATCCAGGTAGAGGATCACTCAGATCGGAGGAATTAATTCTGTTAAAAAGAATTGTTCAAAGCTTATCCCAGTTGATAAGTCCATTAACTACTCATTCATCAGTTGATATTCTGAAAAAAGCATTCTCATCGATTCGACATGGATCGGATGATTTTGACTCAAATCTTACCTCTAAGTTTCTTGGACAAAGCAGTGACGATTTCGAGGAAGATGTATGGGGCATTGCTGGGCTCATATTGGGTTTAGGTAGTTCTGTTGGGGCAATCTATAGGGCAGGTGCTTATGATGCAGTCCTCAATCTGAAGACCTTACTTATTTCTTGGATTTCGAACTCAAATCTTTCCATTTCATCTCCTGCTAACAGTTCAGAAAGTGAGCTTCTGTTATCCACAGGCACTTGCCTTGCTGCACCTATTGTAATGGCATTCTGTCACAGAGTTGAGCTTATGGATGGCACTGAGATGGACCAGCTAGTGGGATGCTACAAGCAACTTATTTCTCAACTAGTATCTGTTAAAAAATTTAACACTCTTCATCAGAGCTTGTTGTTGGCATCTTGTGTTGGAGCTGGAAGCATTCTTGGTACCATTTTGAACGGGCGTTTGCATTCTTTAAAAGTTGAATTTGTTAAAGATTTGCTGGATTTATTCAGGAAGTGCTACTCAGAACCCAATCCTCCTTTAATTCATTTGGGTGCTATCATTGGGGTTGTGAATGCATTAGGGGCAGGTGCAGGAACACTGGTTCAAGAACACCCTTTTTGCAAATCATATGATATTATTAATGGTCAAAAGGTGAAATCTTAAATCTCAATTAGTATTGAGTTGTTTAACCTTTGTTGAAGATGTAAGTTTAGAAGTGAGACGTTTGAGATTAAAAGTTCTGCAACTTTTATTTTACAAAAGTATGCAGCATGGGTTCAGTACCTTTTTACTATGTTTCTAAAATTTTCACGTGAATAGGTAGACATACCTCGGATGAATTAAATTTTGTACTACATATTTTTTTCCTCAAAATTGTGTTTTCCAAAGGCTATTATTATTATAATCAGAATGGGGAAGGGGGGGGGGGGGGGGGCAGCGGGATTGGGCCTGTGGGATGTGCTATGGGTCTATTGTATTACACTATCATTACCTCTTCAGATCCATATTCCTATAACTGAAGGTTCCATTTGTTCCTTTAAATAGTGTTCTTAGACTGAGCAGCCACTAATTTAAATTCATAAAAAATGATATTCTCCAGCCGTTAACTCTAACATAGGAACAGAGATCCAGAGGAAAACTAATAAGAACTTAACTAGTTGTTTTTTACCAATGTTATGATACTCTACCAGGAGTGCGCTTACATCGATGCTCCATTGCTATCAAATCCAGCCATGGAGCCTGATTTGACATCAATGTTGCAAGAGATTTTTCTTCTAGCTCAAACATCTGCTACTGATAAACTGAAGCAGTATGCTGCCTGGGCACTTTCGTTTCTTAGGCATTCACTACAACGCCAAGAGCATCATCATACTAAGGAAACTACTACAGTTAGTGATGCAGACATGAAGAATACCTCACACACTTTTACTGAGGACAGCACAGTTTTGAAGCTATCTCTGTGGCTAATGAATTTGAAGTGTCCTGAGGTATAGTTATTGTGAGATTTTGTCAATTTTTTTAAAGAAGTTTAGTATCCACACCTCATATTTACCCCCATTATTTTAATTTGCACTCAGTGTTCTACATTTCGACTTTGTATCCCAGAGCAAGTCATATCTATAAGAATTGCAGTTTTCACCCCATACATTAGTCCTTGACCCCATATTTTACCTTCATGTTTGACTTCACACCCTGCTCTAGGGTGCAAAATCAATGAAAATAAATAATGGAGTGCAAAGTAAAATATAGGGATAAACATGGTATGCAAATACAGCATTTCCCCTTATTTTAAGCTTTATCGTTCATGGAAATACTATTTACCAGTTATTGAGTTGGGTAGTTTGCAATAATATATTAGTTGAACGGCTTTTTAACATGGGTACACAGCAAAATATCTACCTTTCATCTTTAAAATACATGACAGAATTCTTTTTTTTTGTTCCAGACAGGCAAAGTTTCACATGTTAACACTGTATCAATGGTTTTGCGCTGCCTTACGCCCGCTCCCAGATTGCCATTATTAGATTGGGGAGTAATGATCAGAAGATTCATGAGATACGAGGGTGAAGTTGCGGAAATGTTGTCGAAAGATGTAACCTTCAAGAAAGGACAGCTCAGGGAGGAGTGCCTACTTTTCGCTCTATCTCATGCAAGCCAATTTGACAGTGTCCTTGCCTTCCTTGACGAACTTTGTGTCCTTGCTAGGATGAGGGCACTTGAGCCATCTCTGCAATCATGCATACTCCTACACCTGGCTGATCTAACTAAGATTTTCTCTGGCTCTCGTCTGATAGAGCTATTCAATGATGTGCCTAACTTCTTGTCTCACTCGGTTTCATCTGTACATTATAGTCCTGATCAGAAAAGCGCCTTACGGTCTTCGTGCTGGAGAAGCCTTAATCAGTGTTGGGAGGAATCTTCCCTTGACAGTCAATTTTATAAGTCAGAAATTGAAAACTGTATGGTGGTTTTATTTAAATTGTTGCCCCAGTTTCCTTCAGCTTTCTCTAAAGACCTGTATCAGAACAATATCATAGAAGAATGGTCTGAAGCAATTACATGCCTTGCTAAGTCTAAACAAGAATGGTTGTTGAATCTTTTGCAGGTGCCTTCAAAGTTTTATTAACTCAAGTTTTTGTGATAAAAAATTGAATGCGGACAACTGCTTATTAGTCCTTAGATTATTACATTTGAAAGTTATGCATTTTGATGAAAGACAGTGTTCCTTTAATACTTGTTCTATCATGGTGCCAATGGATTATTACATCCACACATTAATTAGAGCATAAGGCGTTACTACGTCATTAAGTGCATACAGTTTTGATAATGTCATAATTTCTTGCTCTCAGATTCTAATTTTCTTTACAGATTCCAGAGGGGAGTCTCAACGAAGCAAATGGCCAATCTGAATCTGTGAAAAAGCTCCTAGCAAAATCAAGATTAGTGCAAACTGGTTCCATTTCGATGAATGAACTTGGTAAACTGCAATCTTACATGTTAAACTGCAGATGTGAAGGTCAGTTCTATCATCCCAAGTTTATACTCAATAACCTTTAATATTAAAAGTTTCCCATTGTAACTATGTTTTGTAAACAACTATCGGCTTTAGCTTATATATAAATCCTTAAACCTCCCTATGCAGTTATCTGGGATGCTCTACTTGGGGTTATTGAAGCTTTGCAGTATGCTGATGGGGGCGTCAAGAGGCAATGGCTTGTTAATGCATTGCAAATTAGCCGTGTTTCAAAATTTCCTTCCACAGTAAGGGTTTCTCATTTTTCTTTTCGAAGCATTAGGATGTTTTTACTTGGACTGTAATTTGCTGGTCTGGTCTGGTCTGGTTTCTTTGTATTTTTATAACTACCCAAGTATGATCTGGTCTGATCTGGTCTGGAACAAATTACAGTCCAAGTAAAAACATCCTTAACCAGCGTACCAAAACTGACATCAGGACATCAAACCAATATTTCCTTCTAGTTGGCTTTCTCACTTTTCTTTTGGAAGTATTAACTTATGTACAAAAGCAGACCTCAGGGCATCAATGTCTCCTAGCATAATTGGAGTTCAATGGATGCTCTATCCACTATCCTATCCTTTGGCCATTTTCATATTATAAAACCACATAATGTGGGATGAATCTCGGAAAGGAAAGGAGTGAATTTCCATTATTACCTCCGCCCCAAGCCAGGGTAAAAGAAGGAAGGTGTTGTGATAGGCATCAACAGTATCAATTATTCACATCACATGATCTCCATCCCATTTGTTCTCCTTTTATGAGTTATTGCCACTTTTAGTCCTTCGACTATTATGTCATTGACACTTTTTTTACATGTTACCATTACGGAGAAGATGAAAAGAAAAAAAAATGTCATTGACACTTTTGATACCCGACTTTGATTTTTTTCATTTTAGTCTTCGACTATTGCGCTAAAGACACTTTTGATACCCGTCTTTGAAAATTTCCATATTTAATCCTTCAACTTTCATACAAGTGACACTTTTGATCCTTCAAGTATAATAAGGGGCCAAGGGGGTGTTTGGATCTGATTCTTAAAACTGCTTCTGCTCCTTCAGGGAGCATAAGCTGGAGTATTTGGATGAAAGTGCAGAAGTGATTCTGGAGCTCTAATTTACTCCTAGAATCAGTTTTTTTAGAAGCTGGGGGTGACCAGCTTCTGAAAACTGATTCTGACTCTGCTTCTGATTTTTAAAAAGAAGCAGAATCAGAATCAATTCCAAACACCCCCTAATAGTGACATTTTTAGTCCTCCACTTAATCCGTCTAGATCATAATGGGAGGACTAAAAGTGTCAATTTGACAATAGTTAGGGGACTAAATGTGGGAAAACTTGAAGTCGGGGACTAAAAGTGTCTCTAGCGCAATAGTTGAGGACTAAAAATGGAAAAATTAGAAGTCAAGAACCAAAAGTGTCACGTACATAATAGTTGGAGGACCGAAAAAGACAAAAACTCCTTTTATTGCCCCTAAATTGTGTTCACTTTCTTAATTTTAATATCTCCTACTTTTGTTTTTCCAAATCCATCAGTTTACAAGTCACTTAGACTTCACTTGATGAAAGTTGTTTTTCTTTTCATATTCTCCCTAATGGTAACATGTAAAAGAAATAACATCTCATGTGTTTTCCTTAAAAAACGCAAGTACACAAATGTATTACAATTTGGGACAGAGTAAATATAGTTGAAGTACTTTAGTTAAACATAATATATCGAAAGTATTTTTGGGGTATTTTTGTGGTAAGAGAAAAAATGGTATTTAATGGAATCAGAAATACTAACTTGATTGGAGGATGGAAATCACTTGCATGTTCCTTCCCAACATTACTCCGTGTACAACAAACAGAGATTTGACGCGTAGATCCTGTTTGATCGTGCAGGCATTGCGGTTTATTGGTCTGTTAAGTGGAAGCTGTTGCAAATACATGCCACTTTTAGTTGTAGACCAGATGGCCGTGTTGAGGGATTTACCTGTCACACTAACATCCCTTCTCTCAGACAGCCAATGGGCAGTGGTAACAGAATCTGTTGTTTCTCATATGTGGTCATTAACCATACGATATTATGAGTGCACAAAACACTCAGCAGACTGTGGTGATCATTCAGTTAACCAACAGTCTATAGACAGCAGTGAGCATGGCATGGCAGGTTTCCTCTTCCAGGTATTGCACCATTCATGTGTTTCTCTGAAAGAGTATCTATCCCCAGAGGAGCAACTTCAACTGTCTTGCATGGAATCTAATCCTGTAATGAGATGTTAACGGGTTTTTTCTCAACAGTCATCAAACAGACAGTTGGTCTCCAAACAGAATCTGCCCTGCTGTCAATAAGAAACTTTTTTATGTGTGTGAAGGTCGTTTCTGTACTTACTAGAGGATAGTGTGTCCATAGGAATATCCATGTCCAGCCTCATACCAGTCATACGTCCTTATCATTGTTTTTTTTTTCCGGTTTGGTTGTACTCGTAACACATGCATTGGAAGCGAAATCCAAAAAACACACTTTTTTGAGTTCTATTTTGTTCACCCCTTCACACTTGGCAAAACTTTTAAATTTTACAATTGTAATGCCAAGTGTCATGTGTTGGAGGGAGGGGGTGAACAAAATAGAACTCCACTTTTTTGTCTCTGGAAGTTACTAGTATATATTATATAAGTTATAACAGCTTGCCTTCTACAGAAAAATTTTTCAAAAAAATACACTTTGATTAAGTATAAAAATGCAATTTGTCACATGAATTCATCATAATGTTAGGCACACATATTGTATGGTACATATATTATTTATTTGTGTACTTATTTGTATGTATGTATGACTTTTTTAGACCAAGGCTTGGATGTTGTTATGTGTGTGTAATTATAATACTAATAATTTGGAAAATAGAAAATTTATATTTAGCTTGAACTCGAGTTCGAGCATCTTTTTTGAGCTCGAACAGTCGAACCTATAAAAATATATTATTCTTGTTCGAGTTTGAGTTTAAGTTAGTGCATTCTTATCGAGCTTGAACATACCCTAGTTCAAGCTCAACTCGTTATTCCACACATGTAAAGCTGTAAAATAAAATCCCTCACACTCCAAGAACAAACTTTATCAAGCACTTAATCTCTCACACTCCAAGCGAAAAATAAAAAATACAAGGGCGAGAGACCACATATGTGAGTTATATAGAAAAATCAATCACATTGAAAATATGGAAATTCCTGATTTTCTTCATGTAATATCGAAATGAATATTTCAATGGCCCAAATTGAACTGAACTCTTGGTGGCTTGGGACGGGGCTAGTCATAGACCTGGGCCGGCCCGGTTCCGGGCCGGACCCGGTTCTAGACCGGGCCCGGTTCCGGGCCGGGCCCGGCCCGGCCCGGCCGGGCTTTTTTTTTTTTGGGAAGGAAGGCCGGGGACCGGCCCGGGTAGCCACCGGGTCCGGTCCGGGTCCGGGTTTGGTCATATTTTTTTTTTGCTTTCCTAACCCCCCCCCTCACCCCCCACCCCCCAAACCCCCCAAACCCCTCCTAACCATGAAGCCCAACCCGGGTAACCCCAAAAAATGAAAAAAAAATAAAAAAATCAATTCGACCCGGACCCGGGCCCGACCCGGCCGGGCCGCTTCGCCAAATACAAGGCCCGAGCCCGGACCCCCCCACCGGGCCTAGGCCCGACCCAGACCCGGACCCGGACCCGAGAACCGGGCTGGTCCCGGGCCGGGTGGCCCGAACCGGGTCCATGACTAGACGGGGCATGCCAGTATAATTGGAAATTGGCACACTTTAATATGCAAACTATCAAACAACTTAGGGGTGTTTGGAATTGATTATGTTTTTGCTTCTTTTATAAAGTAGACTCAAAATCAGTTTTCAGAAGTTGGTTTCCCCTAGCTTATAAAAAAACTGACTTTAGGAGTAAATTAGAGCACCAGAATCACTTCTGCACTTTCACCCAAACACCAACTTCTGCTTCCGATCCCTGCAAGAGTAGAAGCAGTTTTAACTTTTAAGAATTAGATCCAAACACCCTTTATTCAAGTAGAATTTGGCAATTGCTTCATTGACCTGAGTTATTTGAAAGCAACTCACTCTACAAACTTAGAATGTTCACCGAAACATCATGGGTCCATGGAAGTATGGAACTGGACTTGAAGTTTGTAATATTCACCCACATTCAATCACCAGTTTTGCCATTTTTAATTCCTCTAAAGATGTGGTGGAGGTATCTAATGCATGAAGATGAACACCAATCTCCAGAGACTGTAATGAGGCGGCAGAGACTTCAACCAACATCTTTGATAGACGTGTTAGAAGGCAAAAGCCACTTGAACTACAAAGCATGTCTTCCCAACACTTTCTTTTATATATGACTCCTTTATAATGTCATACGGTGTATAAGTTAAGTTAGAATCACTATTACCATATTTGATTCTTAAAACTGCTTCTACTCCTTCAGGGAGCAGAAACAAAAGTTGGAGTGTTTGAGTGAAAGTGCATAAGTGATTCTGATGCTCTAATTTACTCCTAGAATCAGTTTTTTAGAAGCTGGGGGAGACCTACAGCTTCTGAAAACTGATTCTGATTCTGCTTCTGCTTTAAAAATGAAGCAGAAGCAGAATCACTTCCAAACACCCTTAGTATATATGTAGTACGTAGTATTTATTTACTGGGACCTAAAACGGAGTCGCATGGTTCCAAAAAACTCCATATAACTAGTCACAAAAACTCGAGCTATTTCACTTCCAAAAGCATATTTGTAGGGAAATGTGTAAACTGTAAACACACTCTTAATATTGAGGTGCAAAACTTAGGTGTAAAAATACTCCAAGCATGAATCAAAGCATATTGAGTTCGGAAAATAAAAAAACGAAAAACTTATTTTTCTTAAAACTAGAATAAATAACCTATATACAATTTAAAAAATAAAAATGTTATAAAACTGTATGTTTTAGGTTAAAAGATTTACGTTTTAATTTTATACTACATAATTATGGAGTATCATTTACCCTTATAGAAGAAGCATCTCAAATTGGTACATAATGTGTGTGTGTGTGTGTGTGTATATATATATATATATATATATTAATTTTTGTGTTGCTGCAATATTTTGAACATATTATTACAATTGTTTTAAAATAATATTTTTTAATATTGTTTAAACTTAACAAAGTCAAACAAATAGTGATCTTGAACTATTTAACAATTAACATCATACAAAATAGAACAATATAATTTTTAAAACATCATGCACTCTTTAAAACACTATTGTTTTAAACAATATAATTTTTAAAACACCATTGTTTTTTAAATAATTTTATACTGGTTTGCCTACCGGGTTAAAAAAATAGAAATAAAAAAATAATTTTATAGTGTAGACAATATAAAAAAATTAATTAATGTTTTTTACACTAGAACACATATTTTAACAGTTTAATGTTAATAATATTAAATTTCAAAATAGAACACATCCATTATTTTATTTGTAATGTTTATAAATATACATTTTTAAGAAATTTTATCAATCTAAGAACTGATAGATAGATTAACTATCAATTTAGAACCTGAAAGATGAAAATGGTTGATACAAATCACATTAAAAACTATCCATCTAAGAGTTAATAGGCTAAAAGGTCAAATAGGCCTCTATATTTGTCGTGTAAGCTCAATTCAGTTCCTGAACTTAAAAAAAGGTCCAATTCACACCCCGAACCAGCAAAAAGCTAAGGTTTCAAATTTCATTTTTCAAGGGTTAAACGACAGGGAAAAAAGGTCTAATCCCACCCTTAAACTATTTAAAAGTGTCAAAATTGCAATAAATCGAAAATAAAAAACATAAATAAAAAAAATAAAAAAATGACCGTTTGTTTATCCGAAAAGAAATGAAATTTGAATCATTTTTTATCCATTCGGGTGTGATTTGAACCTTTTTTTAGTTCAGAGACTGAATTGAGCTTACACGACCGGTACGAGGGTCTATTTGACCCATAACCGAGTTAATATATACAGAGTAATAGAGTTTGATTTCATTCCTTTTTATTTATTTTATTGCTAGGTTTTGATGATATTTTCTTCACAAAATTTTATTAGTTAAGTAACGTTGAAATATATTTAAACTATTTCAAATTTTAAAAATAAAATTAATAACATTTTAGGTCTTAAAAGATTGATAGTTTTCAAACATCTGAGTCTTATATTGACATTTTCATATTTTAGATCATCGATAGTTAACCTCACTTTGGGTTTAATGCATCAACCCTCATGATATATAAATTGAACGCATTAACCCACATGATTTTAGAAATAAATCACGTGGATACTACTGCTATCCACGTTTGGAAAATACTGCTATGTTTGAAGTCTGATACTGCTAAAACTTGACCGTAATTAGTCCTATTTTGGGAATAAAAACATGACAGTCGTATTTTGTAATTTTCAAACTCTTTTAGTACTATTTCGGGTAATATCTCTTATATTTATTCAAGTGCGAAATCCCATGAACAAATTTAATTGTCAAATAAAAAAATGATTAGTTTCTTTGCATAATTTAGATTTCTTGATAAATTTACTTACATATTTTTATAATAGTAAAACAAGTGATTTCATAATGGTTAAATTTGTATATAGAAAAGATTTTGTGCATCAATAATTAGAGAGAATTCCCTAAGTAGGAGTTAGAACGTTTTGAAATTTCAAAATAGGAGTATCATTTTTTTTGAGTAAATTTATGGCAAGTTTGTCATTACAAAACTTTAAGCATGACATTTTTTTAACTTGACAGATTACTTCTATTCAGGGAATAAAAAACATGATATTCCTATTTTGAAATTTCAAAACGTTTTTACTCCTATTTAATTTAATGCAATTTTCTGCAATAATTATTAAACAAATTTTGCTAATGCACCAACTCACAGGCGCATTTTTGACAGTGTATACAACCAGCCGCCGAATTGTCACACACTATACTTTAGTCTGGAGTAATTATGATATCTTTAGGACGCGCCATGGCCGGAGCTACTTCTGCACTGTCGTCTTCGTCGTCCCTGGCTCCCAAAAACCCGCTCTCAATCTCTTCTAGTTCAAAGCTATTTAAGGAAGTTTTCTTCAGAAATCGCCTCTCTTTATCTCACACAACACGGCTCGATGCTAACCTTCGCTGCTTCGCTTCCGCAGCCTCTGGTATCTCTCCAATCGAAACTAAGGGCAAAATTCGAGTTCAAAATCCTATCGTTGAAATGGACGGTAATATTTTGTATACATCAAAAGTTCAAATTTTGTATTTTATACAAACAGTAGTAGTTAAAATTATGTCTTCATTTTTTTATTGAATGGCGGCAGGTGATGAAATGACGAGAGTAATATGGAATATGATCAAAGATAAGGTACGGATAGTCACTTGATTTTCAAAGCGCATTCTGGGTTGCTTCATTCTAGTTCTCTTCCCATTGATTGATTTTTTGTTTAATTTTTCTTTCAGTCCACTGATTGTGCTTATTGGATTTTTTTTTCCTTGCAGCTTATATTTCCCCATCTAGAGTTAGATATAAAGTATTATGATTTGGGAATACTAAACCGTGACGCCACTGATGACAAAGTTACAGTAGAAAGTGCTGAAGCTACTCTCAAGTAAGCCCGACCAACACTTTCTTTAGGTTCATCCATGGAAATAGAACTATAAAGTGCCCCAAGATACTATGTGCTCTATCATATTGAGTTATGGATATATGGACTATTTAGAGGAAATTGTATCTAAATAGTAACTCTTCAAAGCATTAAAAATCATATTCCATTTATTTTGACCATGATCTTATGTATGCGTGACACAGGTATAATGTTGCTATCAAATGTGCAACAATTACTCCGGGTTGGTATCCATTTCATCCCTGGTTTGTTTTTAGCGATGCTATTCTGAGTAAACGCATCAAAAGGAGTGTAATCAGCATACATTACTCAAATTTTTTATAGAGAAAATAGTTATATTCACTCCTCGAGATCCAAGCATGTAGCTCTATTGCATATAAGATTATACGTCATTCTGTTATAATATAATAAATGCCATTTGTTGTTCCAGATGAGACCAGAGTCAAGGAATTTGGACTGAAGTCCATGTGGAAGAGTCCTAATGGCACAATACGAAACATTTTGGATGGTATGTGTGCAGTCTCCAGGGATTCCTCATTGTTTCCATAGGAGACCCTCATGCATGTTTATGATTCTTGTGATATCATGGATTCTTGTGATCTTGTCTGCTAGAAAGCTTTGACAATGGGGTATCTCCCTACCAAACATAGAGTCAAAGTAAATGAAATCCGAGAATAATTTCATTTTAGGCCTGCAAATTACAACAGCTGTTTCAAGCTTGATTTTTTTTTTTTTTGAGTTTTTGTGATTTCTTATAGTTTATGTTCTCCAAAATGATCGTCACTTCCTGCAGGTACTGTTTTCCGAGAGCCTATCCTTTGTAAAAACATTCCCAGACTTGTTCCTGGTAATGTTGTGTTATTCTTGCTGAGTGTAATTTACACATGATCTGACACCAATATCAGCTACAGCCTAATGGCTTATCTCTTAAATCTGCAGGTTGGAACAAGCCCATTTGTATTGGCAGGCATGCCTTTGGTGATCAATACCGTGCTACTGATACCATCATTAAAGGAGCAGGAAAGCTCAAAATGGTTTTTTGTGAGTTAATGATGTTTGATGTGACTCTGTATTACCTATATCACTATATGTAAGTTTTTTTCTTTAAATATATCTACTTAAAACATTTTCGTCATTTATTGATTGTTGCCAGTTCCAGAAAATGGGGAAGCACCGGTGGAGCTCAATGTCTATGATTTCAAAGGCCCTGGGGTTGCCCTTGCTATGTACAATGTCGATCAGGTATGCAACCATTTTCTTGAACTTGTGTGTCAGTCAGTGCTCATTCTTTTATTGATTAACTGACTTTTCGTCTTATTCTTTTTCTCTTATTGGTGCCATTTGCTAGTCAATTCGTGCATTTGCTGAATCATCAATGTCAATGGCGTTTTCAAAGAAATGGCCCCTTTACTTGAGCACAAAAAATACAATTCTGAAGAAGTATGATGGAAGGTAACCAATGATTACTTATTCTTACCCTACAAACTGGGTAAGTTTCTGTTTCTGGAAATGTTTTAAAAAGTATGACAGCATACTTCCTCTAGTTCATAACGAGTGCCATTGTGAAGGGAAATGTTCATTTCACAATGTGTTGTTTTATAAAACCAAGAAAATAGTTTTTTATGTAATTTTCCCATTTTTACCCTTCTCCAAGACCCCATTGCAAGACTTTAATGTAAAATGAAGAGTGAAGTTATTGGTTTTTCCATGTAGCAACTTCTTAATACACATGATTTCTTCCAAATGTTACTTACAGTGAACTGGAGGGATTAGTATTTATACATCTCTTTGTGAACCAAGCAACTGATATGAGCGTTTGGTATTCAATTTGCTCCAGGTTCAAGGACATCTTTGAAGAGGTATATCAGGAGAAATGGAAGGCAAAGTTTGAGGAACATTCAATATGGTTAGTTTATGGTCCATCACATGCTACAGTAAAATATTTTTCTCAGTAGTATTATGTATTGATCTCTGAATGATATGGCTGCTGGTATTAGGTATGAGCATCGATTGATAGATGACATGGTAGCATATGCAGTAAAAAGTGATGGTGGCTATGTATGGGCCTGCAAAAATTATGACGGAGATGTGCAAAGTGATTTACTTGCACAAGGTGAAGTATTCTGATCTGTGAATAGGATCAGAGTAATGCATTACCTATCAAACTATGAGATAGTAGCTTAATTTTTTTTTATCCATTACTGAATGCAGGTTTTGGTTCTCTGGGTCTAATGACTTCTGTTTTGGTTAGTTATATCTCACTATTTTCGTCATTTTCGTCGTCAAGGTGTATATATATTTAGTTTATGACTTTGGTTTTTGAAAAAGCCTGTCTTGGGTCTTATGCTTCTGTTTTGTATACTCTTTAACAGAGGCATCATGATTGGCTTGCCAATGGTGAATTTATTGGAACTTTTTTGGAATTACCATTTGAAATAAGAAGACTAAAAGCATCGATATTGGCTGTTTTCTGCAGTTATCCTCTGATGGCAAGACTTTAGAATCTGAAGCGGCTCATGGAACTGTGACTCGTCACTTTAGACTGCATCAAAAGGGACAAGAAACCAGCACAAATAGTATAGCATCCATTTTTGCATGGACTAGAGGACTGGGACATAGGTAATTTTCTCTAGTTGGTGAAAATCTTATTTTTCATGATTTCTCAACTTGCGGTTGCTTTTCCTCATTCATGCTTCTCATTTCAGTAGACCACTTTAACTCTGTGAATTGTGTTAAAAAAGAGACACTTTGTATGTCCCCAGAAAGTGGGAAGAGCCAATTTTTTTTTAATGTGAAATATTATTCCTCATTGCTTCTCATCCACTTCATTTCTAGTGAAAGTATTCTGAGCTTAGTTCATTTGCATGCAGGGCTAAGCTTGATGAGAACAAGAAATTGATGGATTTTGTTCAAAACCTAGAGACTGCTTGCATAGAGACAGTAGAGTCAGGAAAGATGACCAAGGATCTTGCATTATTGATTCACGGAGCCAAGTAAGTAGCAGCACCTCAATAAGTGTTACATAAACTATTCTGGTTCAATATGTATAAAAACTGCAAACTTTTGTTGACATAGTTTTTAGGCTAAAAGTTAAGGTATATAATTGTATTCTTCTTGTACAGGGTATCAAGAGAGTTGTACTTGAACACTGAGGAGTTTATTGATGCTGTAGCACAAAACCTCAGGTCAAAGATGGGTGCTGTCGTACTTGCATAAAATAAGTTACAAATCCCTAAGTAATACCGAAACGTGAAATGTGAGAAACGTTATTATAAATTTTCCTAGTAACATTTTACACTGATATACCATGTTTTGGTTTCAATTTTGGAATTTCCAATTCCAATAATTTATGAGTTTCAACTGGAGTTGAGCTACTCTTTTTTTTTCTCACTAGATGAAAGTGCTTTAGAGCTTGAGTTGGTTGAATTTATTGAAACTGATGAAGCTAGTTGAAATATCAGAATTGGCGGAGGATTGAATATGTCACGAATGATCATGTACATATGGATGTACGGGGGGCTCCGTACGGACAAAGCCATTAGAGGCCCTTCCGGGTGGAATTTTTTGATGAATTTTTTTTAGCATGTTCTCCATCAAGTCTAGTTTATCCATACCAAATTTCAGCTCAAAATTCGATCGGGAAGGCAGTCAAATAAATCCTGGAAAACTATGGCTCATTCTGCGCACATATAAAGTGCAGTATGTTTACCGGATTTATTTGACTGCCTTCCCGATCGAATTTTGAGCTGAAATTTGGTATGGATAAACTAGACTTGAAGAACATGCTCAAAAAATTTCATCAAAAAATTCCACCGGGAAGGGCCTCGGATGGCTTTGTCCGTACGGAGCTTCTTGTACATCCATATGTACAGGAACGGCCCTCTGAAAAACTATATGTAAAATATATTTTATTAATTAATAAAGTAAAGGAAAAGTTATATGGAAAAAACTAAAATGGCTTCTCTCCAGGCTTTCAACCAATGTCTAGTCTTACTCTTTATTTTACGGTAGTACTCCGTATTAACCAGTTTAGCTTGTGTATTATAAAAAAACTAGTACTCTCAATAAAATTGATAAGTCAAAAAACAAAGGCTAATAGTTGGACACTTAGTATGGGCAATAGAATTATGGACTCGGATAGTCGGATCCCTCAACTAAGCTATTCGAATAAATTTACCAAGAGTGAATCAATTATTCATCTAGTTCGACTGAAGTAGTAAAGTTCTTAGAAACGCAATAGGCTCTTCATCATATTGGACTATTGGTCTGGAAGACTGAAAAAACTAAATGTGGAAACAAAATCATCAAAAAATTCTATGTGGAAACAAAATAACCAGAACAGAAAAAGAAAAAGTATAAAAGAATAGAAAACAATAAAAAAATGTTTTTTTGCTCCAAGAACCACCCCTTGCCGCCCCCTTCAAGGTGTAAGAAAAACTTTTGAATTTGAGGTCGTCTTCTGTGAGACCATGCCTAGGGATTCTTTGGACGAATCCATAGAACTCAATGATGAAGTTAAGTGGATTTTTCAGGATGACCATGAAATTGAGGCATATCATTGAAGTAGCTATTTTTCATTCCATAGTCCATAGCCACCTCCCTTAGGACAATACATGAGGGAGTGGCGGCAATCAGGGGTCTCTTCCTTTCATTGAGTGTTGACATCATTTTTGCTTCTTTTCTTTTCTTCTAGTTGTGTTTGAAAGTTCTTTCTATTTCAAGATCAAGAGGTTCAAGATGTTTAGAGCCTTGATTTTTGAAATGCATTCAAACACAAAAGTAAGCTACACACATGAAATGAAAAGTACCACAACAAGTGAAGAGCAATGGAAAAAGTCAGGATTTTGTTTGATCGTTTAGACTATATAATAACACATTGTATTTCCACGGCAACGACGCTAAAAATTTGATTGGACTAAACTTGCAAGCATACAAGTGCCGATGTAGTAATAAAATATGGTAAATATTGGGCCGATCCACGGGGAAATGATTGATATTATAAAGTTTGAGTATTGAGTGCAAATCGTATACATGATGTAACTTTTGAGGAACTTTGTTCTTTAAATAAACTTTGTTTTTTTAATCGGTTTAAAAAAATGAGTATTATACTTCGTATCTATAATACCAGTTCTTTCCCAATAATTATAAATACGGTGTCGCTAATATATTCCAACTCCGGTTAAGACAACGAGAACGCGGTTTTCGTTATGTGTAAGTCCTGTTACGACTTTCATTCATCCACCGAAAATCTCATTGAATATCAAGACATCACACCTGTACCATATAAGACCAGATATATTTCTATTTTGGGTACTATATATGTTTATCCTTTAATGTTCATAGTTTAGACTTCAACATCAATTACAAGCATAATCTAAATTTAACATACTTTTATGTTGTACACCATAATCATAAATAATCGAGGTATAATGGACAGACATATCACAACTTATTGGTTTAGAACTTTTATCAAACACCCAGTGAGCATAGATTTTCATCCCTAGCCTTAGCTACGGAATTAGCCTCTTGAGATCATACTAATTCAAAAGAGTAACTAATAATAAGGAAATACAATAACATACAAGAAATATTACCTAGAATCAATTGTAGAGGAGAGAAATGATCCCTTCTCCAACACTTCAAGAGAATGCAAAAATAGAATATAAAAACTGAATTTTAAGGTGCAAGGATGGATTGATGATCTTGTTTGATGAATTGAGGGCTTTATGTAGGCTAAAGAATGACATCTTTTAGTCTATTCGAGCCCAACAATTAGGCATGAAGAAAATATTTGATCAGGTCATATGGAAGGTAAGTTTTTCCCATCAAGAATAGGCTCCACTTCGCTGTGTTTTGTGTGGAAATCGACCCAACTGGCGCTGGTTGCTGTGTTTTCACAATGAACATTTTTTGTTCCCTTTTCGGCATCCGCGGTTGATCCAAAAGTTTCGGTTTTCGACCCCCTTTTGACTTTTGACCCCATGTTTGCCGCTTCTAGCCGTTCTTCACATTCTTTGCTCATTTTGGGATTTTTCTCCGTTTTCTCTTTAAATATTTTGTACAGATAAATATAACCACCTAAGTAAAAAGAGGTAATTATTGTGTTTATCATGCATAGACATTGGTAGAGTTCATCCTCCTCCAGAACCACCTCCATGCCATGAAGAATTATGTGGAAAAACTTTATTTCAATTTTATTTTACATTAATAGTACTTTTTTATTTTGTTTGAGTAGATTTGGTTTGTAAATTTGGACATCTTTAGTACATTTGATAGACAGTATTTCAGTTCCGATTGTTTTAGGCTTTAAATTGTCTGTTTCGTGTCTAGCGAATCAGATTCCTTTTCTTCTTCTTCTAACTTTCCCTTCTATATTTTCTCTCCTTTCCTATTTTTTTTTATTATCTCAATCTCTTTCATGTTTTTTTAACTTTTACTCTCTCCGTCCCGTTAGAAGGTTCCCACTTTCCTTTTTTGGACGTCCCATTAGAAGGTTCTCATTTCCATTTTAGGAAACAATTAACAATCTTAAGTGACAAATTAGTCATTAAATATTAAAAATAATACATTTATAACATCACATTTATCAATACTAACACATTATAATATATACCTATTAAAATTATTTTTCAAAATATACCCGAAGTACTTTATTTGTTTATTACCTAAATAACTGTGCCGTTTTGTTATGAGAACCTTCCAACGAGACGGAGGTAGTAATTATTAATTATCAAATTATCATTATCATATAAGGACTACATAGTACTACTTTTCTTAGTTTTTAATTTCTTATGTAATTCGGGTTTCATACACCAAAGCCAACACCCTAGGTGCCCCAACACCCCAACAGAATGGTGAAGGAGTAAGTCACGGTATGACCTCAAACAGTTTTTGAGTGAGGTGGTTCAGGGCCTGGTGTGCACAAGGAGCCACCAAAAGGAGCCGTTGAGTTACCCATGCTAGTAGCTTTATTATTTAAAAAATGCATCAAATCCTCATGTGTTATGCTAGTAATTATTACTGCGCATAACCCATTTTATGAACAAATTTAATAATTTGGAAATTACTTTTTATACTATGACTAATAAATTTTGTCAAAATCTTTAAATTATACAAAAATATTAATTAGACATTATTTATTTGACAATTAAATTTGTTCATACATGAATTGTGTGCATGAATAATAATAACATAAATGAGATTTGACGCATTTTTTAGATCACGTAGACTGATACGCTCGACTTTGATATCACAAAGAGATTTGGTGCATTATTCTTTATGTGATTTTAATTGTTATAATATTTGGTCTAATTCTTAATCTTTGTATCATGTCATATTAAGGAAATGAGGAAATTTAATTTATTCATGATTATATGATACTATGATTTGATACATCTTTGGTCACCAATATGTACCAAACACTTGCTCAAAGAAAGGTCAAAGAAAGGGATGAAAAGAGGCGGTTTAAAATGTTCATTGATTCCCGCCACAATTATTCAATGCTCAGCTCGCTCTCACTCCGCCATTATTGCCAGGCTGGTTTTCTCTTGAAGCAGAGCAACCCTGGCTGCTTCCTGAAAGTCAGAAGGTTCCACCATTCTCACTTTGGCCCTAAACTCTTCTCTCAGGCCACAGATGAAGCACTCCAGAAGAAATTTCTCTCTAGATCCGTCAAGTATGATCAACGCCAGAGGAACTATCGCTTCAAATTCATCAATGTATCTCCTCAGAGATGAAGTCTGTTTCAGATCCTTGAAATCCTGAAACAAGTCTCGCTCGTCGAACCTCCTCAGAACGGCCCTCACGAAGCCCTTCCATTCCATGACCTCCTCGTCCTCCTTCGCGAAGTTCTGGAACCAGATCTCGGCTTGGCCCTCGAGATGCTGGGAAGCGTACACCGTCTTCTGCTGCTCGGTGAAGCGGGGGCTGGTCCGGAAGAACCTCAAACACTTGATGATCCAGCCTCTCGGATCCGATCCGTTGAAGCGGGGAAAGGATTCGCGGATCTCGTCGGGGAATGTGTGGCGCAGCATCGCGTCGTTCATTCTCTCGGTGGCTTGCTCGAGTTTGGCTTCCATGGCTTCGATCTTCGCGCTCATCTCTACCTCCACCTTACTCACTCTCAGGTTCACGCCATTGAAGATCTCTTCGATTGTTTTCTTCAGATCCTCCATGATTACTTAATGAGTTCTTACTTGCTCGCTTGATTGCTCTGGCTTTAAGTAAAGACAGGTTGCATATACTTCTCCTTCTTCCATATGCTAGATGACTGACTATCCAATAAAAATTGTCACCTACTCGTGCTGTGTTTGTGGGAATAGAAGTACTCCAATGTCTTGTTAAAGCATATCTTCCAGATTTTCTGTTTTTGGTCTTACCAAACTTTTTGCTTATTTCCTTGAAAAAGTAAATGATGTTTTTTTAATAGGTAGATTTTTTAAAGTAGTCCCCAAAC